CTAGACATTGCAGGAAGGTAGATCTACAGGAAGGTAGATCTCCAGGACCAGAGTTGGTGACCACTGGTCTAGATGCTGGCTACTGAGTTTGCACAAAGATGTTACATATGGGTTTTTCTAAATTTCACTCTTACTGGTAATTCTCAACTACAAATGTTTTCTAGTCCTACACTCAGAATAATTTGTTAAAAAAGTCAACCACCCCTGTTTTGATATTTGAGTTCTAACTGAATTACTGTACATAAAAATATGACCAAATCAAAAATCTCAAGAAAAAAATCACAATACCTTTCAGATAAAAGTTTCATTCTGCCAACTCTGTACATCTCTGTGCACTTTTTAAACTGGTCGTCAACTTAGAAAAGTTAAAGAAGAAGTGTATTTCATTACAAACTTAGCAAGTAAACAAATCATTAACTGCCCAGACTGAGTGTCCAGCGCATGTTCAGCAGCATGGATCTCTCTCGTTAAACTCCCGCACGGAGCTGTGATGCCCATCTGAAATGCATATGCGACGGCTGCCTCTTTTCCATGCTATCGATTGCCACAGATCAATAGAAACCTGCAACAAGCTCCAGCCTCTGGCACTGATTAGCATGGCAGGCTGGGAAAGCTGATCTTCTGCATTCTGCTGGTGCTCGGACTGGTCGTTGTGGACTAGGCCGGTGGGGCTTATGTGTTTCATGTGTATCGGCGCGCTGATCTATGATCAAGTCACTCATCCGCTCAAAACAAGAGTGTAGAATTACACATTGCCCCAAAGATGCAAACCACTGAGAGAGTAGAAACTGTAATCTAAACGTCTTTACTGTGTTGCCAGGTAATAAGGGGAACTTCAAGGTCCTACTACACGCTGGCTGTATATGCACACTTGTACACACAGTTGTTCTTCTGTTCTGGCATTTCTATACAATGAAATCTAATGAAAATGAAATGAAAAACTTGATTCCAGCTAAGCTGATTACTCTGATACATTATAACAGCAGAACAAAGATTAACAGAACTGGGTGATAAAAATGATAATTCTCAAGATCAAACGTTTGAAATGCTTCTTAATTTTTTTTAAATTATTAAAATAATAAAATACTATGCCTCTCTGATCCTTAATCTGGTAACCTGGCAGGGAGGGAGAAGAAGTCTAGCCATTCACTTACAACAGCACTATACTCTTAGCCCTCACATGAAGATTCTGATTGGATGTTAGGCTGGCCAAAACTACTGGGATTTTTTTTAGTTGCATTCTGTTTGGCTGTCCAATTCATTTATTTTGCACATTAGTCAAATGGCCCTTTCCTGTCAAAGTAGATGGTTATTGGCCATGTTAAGCGACAAAATGCACCAGACTCTCTGAGGTGGAAGTGTGGCTTGCGAGACCACAACAGTGCAAATCTGTAGAACAGCTAGTGGAGATAGCTAGCTTGCTAGCTGTTCTCAGTGTTGAAAATATGAAGAGCAGCAAAAGCTGTGAGTTTGAGAAAAATATCTCAATATGTCCTGTGCTGTGTCTTTTGTTGTTGGATTCAATATACTGTTCAGGCATAAAACTGAGCATTATGAAATTATTGCAGTCTAATGGTATTAAAAAAATACTGCAGTAAGAGTTCTGGCTATATCATCCAGCTTCAGATTAACATCCAGTCCAGCGGTGTGAGTAGAGTTCTACCAAACTCTAAAGAAATGCACTACCTTACACAGACATACTGAACTCAGAAAGGGCTGGAAAGGGCTTCATTTTCTTGGACTGTAGAGTTTATAGACAAAAAAGCTTTCATGGTAGCAACTTTGCCTCCATTACTGCTTTAATTCCAGTTCTGACATGTTTCAGGACATCTCGATTAAAACACTGCTGAAAAAGTGAAGCTTCACATTCAGATTAAAACATTCCAGATTGCTGTGGAAGGCGCCCAATGGCAGCTTTCTTTTTTCATACCCAGATAGCTTAAAAAACATCGTTGACAGGTTCGAACATGCTAAACCATCACATTAAAGGCTTTTTATTGCTTTGATCAGCAGCTCCCCTGCAGAGAGGAGAAGATGGAATTGATCCACATCGAGAAAAGCCTTCAATTTGGAAAGGGGTAGTAGTTAGCATCACTGCTCATATTTAATCAGTACATCAAAAACAACAAACTTACAAAGGATGCTACAGCATCTCCCAAAAAATAGCATGAGGGTTTAAAATGGGGTTAACATGGACGTGTTTTGGAAAATCCTTCAAGACTTTTAACAAGTGACCTTTAGCTGGCCTACTTTTTGCAAACCCTTTACTGATTAGCCATCCGTGCACTGGGTTGCTGCAGATATGCTGGAGCAGGCTTAATCTTCAGCTTTAGTTCTCTGTTAATGTGGAAAACAGAGCAGTTAACGTTGTCTTGGCTTTGTCACCTCATTTTTGCAATCATGTCGAGTGGGCACAAAAGGGCTACTCAGACACAGCCATCAGCGCAGTGAGACACATGGAAACGTGGATAATCGTAGAACTTGTGTTTGCTAATCAGGGGTTGGGGTGATGAGAGAGAGAGAGGCAGAGGGAGAGGAAGACAGAACGAGAGAGATAGAGAGAGAGGAATTTAACTATATAATATTAAATGTCTCACTGCATAACTTATGCAATATGGCTAAAAGCTTGTGGACATCTGACCATCACATATATGTGACCTAGTTGGAAATTCCACTCCAAAATGATGTGCATTAATATGGAGTTGGCCCTTTTTATTGTGGTTACAAGCCTTCCACTCTGTTAGTTCTCTCTGCTCATTCAGTCAAAAGAGCAGCTGTGTAGCATTAACATGACCCTTCACTGGAAACCTGAAAATCAGGCCTAGACCATTATACCTCCTTCACCAAACTTTACTGTTGGCACTTGGATTTTGGTAGACAGTATTCTCCTGGCATCCGCCAAACCCAGATTTGTCCATCAGACCACCAAACAGTGAAGCGTGATTAATTGCTCCACATTTCCACTGCTCCAGAGTCCAGTGGCAACATGCTTTACACAGCTCCAGCTGACGCTTGGCATTATGCATAGTGATCTTAGACTTGTGTGCTTAGACTTGTGTGGAAACCCATTTCATGAAGCTCTCTGGACAGTGCTCTTGTGCTGATGTTGCTTTTAGAGGCAGTTTGGAACTCTGTAGTAAGTGATGCAACAAAAAACAGGCAATTTTTTGATGGCCCTGCTCTGAGTTTGCATGGTCTACCGCTTCATGGCTGATGTGTTGTTGTGCCTAGATGCTTCCATCTGACAATAACAGCACTTAAAGTTGATCAGAGCAGATCAATGTCATGAACTGACTTGTGTCAAAGGTGTCATCCTATGTCAGTGCCATGTTTAAAGTCACTGAGCTCTTCAGTACGAAAAAAGGTAACTATTGTATAAGAAAACGCTTAACTTTAATCACTATTAATGTAGCAAGATTATACTCCAAGTTATTTCAAACATTTCTATTGCTCTATTCGTCTTAAAACTTTCACACAATGCAAAGAGCTGGCATTTTCAAACAGTAAAAAGTATTTACACTGATAGCAATAATAGTTTATATTAGTTACACAATAATAAATAGTGGTTAATGAATAGCAAGCCTTCTGATTAAAAACTGAATATTAAGCCTGCAGTTAAAAGGACTGAAGAGAGAAAGCGAAAGAAAGAGGGAAGAGAGAGACAGTGTGAGGGACAGAGAAAAAACAAAAACAGAGGGGACAGCTCTCTTCTAAAGTCTTACAGGCTGGAATTATAACCCCACCAACAGCTTTTCTCAAATGCCACAGCACAGAGGATGTGAAGGTCAGGATGTCACACACACACATACACACACACACACACACACACACACACACACACACACACACACACACTTTCTATCCTAATCCAAAGACTAAGAGTGATTAGCTTCCAATTTGTATTATAGCTCTGTGTTTAGTGTAAGAACATTGTATAATCACACAATAAGCAGACCAAATGTTCTTTCTGTTGGACTGCTAGTTCCAAAGAAATGATCCTAAACAAAAATGGGAATTCCACTGGTTTTTCAAAAATCCTGCAGTATTAAATCATTAAAATTAAACAAAGCCATTTAAACTGGTTTGATGGGAGATTCTCCATTCAAGAGAAACTTACCAGAATTGTTCAAACTGGTGGTGATAGGAATGAGACGTCTGGAATGTCTCATGTCTCTAAAAGCTCCCTCACAGAAGGTTATTACTTGAAATGTTTATGGATAAGTTACCTGATGTCTGACAATAATTTTGAGACAAGGTTTTGGTCTAAAACATATTTTTTAAAATCAGTTAACGACGGAGATGTACATGCAGGGCATTATAAGGCAAAAAACGCCATTGTTTTACCATTATCAACACCACTATAAAAACTCAGAGTACATGTAGGTTCTCTGGTCACTAAGGCTACAGCATAGCATTGAGGTGGAAACAACAAAGTTCCATTTTTCTCACAATGATGTCAGTGAGCTTGTGTTCATTGATGAGATCAAGAAATCGGAAGTGTACAAAGGCATTTTGGATGCAAATCTGCAAATGTCTGCAAAGAAACTGCTGAAACGATAAAGAGCTGAAACTTGGCTAAAAAGAAAATGACAGTCTTGGAATGGTCTGTCTAAAATAAACACCCCTTGATTTGCCATTTTGTTTCCTAACACAATGAAATGCATTTTTCCGCACTGCACAAACATCCAAATACTAGTTGGAGCCTGTGTATATCTCGGTAAACTTGCTCTGTGAGAACGGTAACTGTCACACTCAGACTGCTGGTAAAACTGACATGACTATATGTTGCTGATACACTACATTCAGCGGCCACTTTATTAGAAACCCCTATCTTGTAGCTCCACATTGCTGGTATACAGTTACCATAAGGTAGGGCAATAAAGTAGGTGGAGCTCATAAAGAGCTAGTGAACCCTCCTGGACTGTGGCCCTACAGGACCAAAACTGTACACCCCTGGGCTACAGTGATAGTGTGATGACGTAGTGATAGCTCAGACTGACCTGACACTGGGGTCATGGGAGTGGGCGGCAGGCCGTTCATGTTGAGTGCCCCCACTTGGTGGATCTGCGTTGCTGGAAACGCCATGCTAGGCGCAAGGTAAGCTCCATGAGATGCCGCCATTATGGCTGCCTGCTGCTGCATCAGCTGAGGGTGAGAGAGAAAGAGAGAGGGAAAGGGTGGAGAGATTTCCACATTAGGAAATACTCATTAAGATTTGAAAAACTGTACACGCACATAAATGCACACATGAGAAATAATCACGAGCGCTAATTGAATATTTAATCTTCATGAACCCGCCCCAAACGTGCACACTCGTGCTCAGGGGAGCCTGTCACACTGCATGTATGTACATTAGTGTCTTAGTGTGAATAAGTGATGAAGCCGAAGCACTCAAACACTCATCATTAAATAAATTAACACAAATCCACTCTAACACCCCCCAACCACTACCATCACCACCACCAAATAAGAAAAAGGTAATTACAGTAAGCCTGTCACTATAGCAACCACTCACTGAATCAATGAGCTTAAAGGCCGACCTGTCGGAGTGTGGCCGTCACAGGCTGCGTTCTCCTTCACTACTGTCATGTTCAGATTCATGTTCAACACTACAATCTTTTAGCTTCAATTTAAAAGAAATGAAAAAAATCTTTTCAAAAACAACATAAAAAAATAAATGCAAAAAAAAGTTAGGTATTATTTTGACAAGTTGAAATTCAGGGGTTAGAGTTTGTAACAGGTCCTAATAGTAAGTACCCTATAAATGATTATGTATATATTTAGCTTATTACTATCTTACTGCTTAAGCATGTTTGAATGCTTAATAGTTTTTTTTTAATGATTTTTTTTTTTACTGTGGAATCTAATTAACTAATTCGGTAGAACTGGTCCATATAGTAAGGTTTCAATTTCTAATAATAATGACATTAATTACAAATAATAATACTTTCCACAATTCCAATTCAACTGCTACTAATACACTAATATAACTACTATTACTGATAATAATACACTACTACTCACACTGGTAGTACAACATCTACTACTACTGATAATAGTTCTAATCATAATACAACAATAATAATATTAGATACTGGATAATTCTGGGTTATACTTGTATTCAGATAACGTTAAACGATAAACAGCTTTGTGCATTATCTTCTTATTTCTATTATTAAATGGCTTTATGCTAATGTATATGTGCTTTGTAAATGTGCATATATTATAAACAGGGTTGCCCTAAAAATGAGGCTTTGAGTCTCAGTGGGATTTCCCCTGTCAAAATAAATAAATTAAGTAGAAATAAAAATCTGGGGCTTGTTAGATTTTCCTAAGGGAGGCAAATGATCACACAGGCCAAGAAACCACAGCTGGCTCCATATCCACACCATCTAATCTATAGCTGCCTATAAACAGGCCAGGACACGCAGATCTATAAGCTAAAGCATTAGCATGCATATGTAATGACTGTGCTTCATGAGGAGCATGTTAGCGAGTTTTTAGCCTGTTTGTATCGACCACCTGTCTCACTTCCTGCTCTAAAATGCAGGGGCGTGGCTAAAATAAGGCTCCGCCAATGGACTAAAACTCGTTTTTTAAATAATATTAAACTCAGATAAAAAATTAAACTCAGATAAATCAGAATCTGATAATTTCACAGTGATTTTATGTATGGCAGTGTGTGTATTTACCCATTTCCAAACCTCTCCTCATGGCATCCCAGCATTGTATGTAATCATCATCTAATACCTGGTTTAGCTATTCAATACACACTGTAAAAAGTGGCTCTTCAGATCTACCTAAAAGAATTGCTTCATGTGGTAACAAGCAATTGAACTAGTTTTATTCAACCTAAAAACTATATTGAAAGAATTGTTCATTCAAAGCATTCATTTAGGTTGAATAAAACTAGTTAATTTACTTGTTACCACATTAAGTGATTTTTTTTTTTTTTAGGTAGACCTGATGAGCCACTTTTTACAGTGTATCATTATGTTAAATTAGGTGTGCTGGTGATGGAATTTAACAAATCTCTGTGACGGCTGGAGATGATCAGAAGATCAGGAAGCAAACTTTACACTTTAACTCACAAGATATCAAACATTATGACATTTGTCATGACAATTAATGGTAATTGTGACATGACACTGTTATATTACTGAACAAAATCTGTCAAAACAATTCATGTCGGTATATGACGTCTGCAGTGATATGTTTATGGCATGATCATGTCAATGTTATGTAGCAGAGTTTAAGTTTCTCCATGTAGGAGACAGCTGTCGCTCATCTAGCGTTAAAGTGACAGCTAGCTTTAGCTTATCTACTGATTTATTTAGTAAAAGTATGTGTACAGCCCTGTTGGTCTATTATTTAGCTGGATGACAACCTTTCAGAAATTCAGAATTCAAACAGAATGTAAAGAAATGAATCGAGTGGTATTTTTGGTTCCATGTGTCAGCTAGCCAAATTCACAGGGGAACATCTTTTCCTTTCAACTAAACATGTTTGGTACTGGCACATAGGCGATGAAGTATTTATGAAATATTTATGCGATATTAATCATATGTACACTGTGCATGTGCAGCCTTTGCATGCAGACCTTTTTACCTTTTTGTGTCTTTGTTTTTCAATGTTCTCTCACTACAATACCCAGAAATCCTGACTGCTAGTGTAGCCACAGATCTCTAGGCTAAACAAAGCAGACATGATATTTAGCTTCCTCTCAGACACTTTACCTATCTAGTTTTTTCTGCTTTAGACAGTCAGCAAAGACAAAAAAAAACTTCCTGCCCTGAAGTAGCCGCCCCTGAGTGCTTGGGAGTTTTTCAAAAGTCCCGGACACCTTCAAGATACATCATCTCAAAGGGCTTTTCTAGTCTTTAAATCTGAAAATCTAACTCTAGAGGCTACCGCAACATCACTGTAGGAGATGAGTAGGCATGTTTACAACAGATGTAGGGATGGTTATACTTTTTATTTTGCCCGGAGTGTCCCTTTAAAGACCACATGTTAACATAGTTCCCTCTTTGCTTTACTTTTACATGTCACATTGTTTTCACAGTGCTCTGTGCAGTGGATCTCTGCCCTCTGGATTACTACTTCAGCCATGTGTCAGTGCTATCAGTAGAAGCTGTAGAGGCTTTCAGCACTGTCACAGACACTATGTGCTTGTGTGTGTGTGTGATAGAGAAAGAGAAAAAGAGCCAGAGACTATAGGTGTGTGTCAGTTCGAGGGAAAGAAAGCACAAGACTGCCAGGAGAAAATATGTAAACTGGTGAAATAAGTGTGTCTGCAGGGGTGCTGAAGTAGCCCCTCATAACAGGATCTTGCTCTGTCTCTTTCATTCCATCTCTTCCGCTCACTGTTTGCCTGCGTTCTGCAAACAGACTGTTTGAACATTAGATAAGAACCAATAAGATTGTATTTAACAGACAATAGAATGAGTTTTGAGAACACATAACAATTAACACTACAAATACGGTGCGTCAAGCTAATGCGCTTTACATGATTTGTTTTTAGATTATCTTTCGATTACTTTTGTTTCAGGCTTGTGGAATAGGAGCTGTGTAGTCATAGATTCAGACACAAGGGGGCAGTAGCAGACACTGTCAATATTAGTTTCTACAACCCACTCCCTTAGACATTATTCACTCATATTTAGAATATCACCATCAACGTGTACCCTGCTGTCTTTCACCAGCGCATTCTTCTTTGTCCTCTTTTCTATCTGATCGGCAGGGTGATATAAATGAGGTAGGGCTGTCACAGTCGATTATAGTAGTGATCTGGTGGTCTACTGATTATTTTGATGATCAATCATGTAATCAGATTGTTTTAAGTGGCTAAATAATGAAACTGAGCGATAACAAACGTTCAAATGTTCATTACACTTTACTGGAACAGATAAACAAAGACACCTTTTCATGTGGCAAATGCTTATGAACAGGTGTCTGTTGGGTTGTTTCTTATTGTAAAGGCTAGAGTACACTGATGGGACAAACACACACAAACACAAATGCTTGGCTGGTGTTCGATACCTGTGTTTGATTGTTGAAGGACTATTTAGTTCATTTTACTTGTAGATTCTTTTTCTGAACATTCTAAGGAGAACTGCAAATATCAGTCGGTTCGTGTCTGTTCATGTTTGTTCCGTCTATGCCTTTAGAGAGAAAAGTAGGAGAGTTTAAAATATGCATTATCATCATGCAAACTGCTAACTAACTGCCAATGATTTTTTTAAATGAATAATCAGGTTTGAGTAATCATGACAGCTTTAAAGCGCAGAATAGCAAAGAAGAGTCAAACTGACCTATCTGTGCTCCACCCACAAATGCATATTTCATAGCAGCTGATGCTAGCCATAAATTATGTTGTATTGTACAGCTATTGCTAAGTTGGACAAGCTTTACAGATTCTTGGCAAAAATCCTTTTCAACCTAATGAGAAATTGTGAGCACAACTCCATTTTTGTCCTATATATGCTTTAATATATGCATATCAGCTACAGTACTCAGTAGACGTTTTAGGGTGGGAACAAATTGAGTCAGAAATTTTAAGGTCAATCCAACACCTTGTGAAGGTGGATCTTAAAGTAGGGGGGCAATGGTGCACTTGTCAATAGTGTCCCCTGAACAACAAGCTTGTTGTTAGCCTGTGTATGTAATGCCAGTTATCATTGCTGAAAAGTCCCCCCAAAAACTCTACTTGAGGAGTTAGATATGGTACATATTGTAAAAATAAACCTTTTGCGAGAGAAAAAGATTCAGTTAGATAAAGATAGCAAGCTTGTTTTGCTTTATTGTCATTGTATTGCAGATGTTAAAAGAGCACAGACTAAAGGAGTTTGGGGGTGGATTTTAGGGGTCTTGCTAGTGGCAGATTTCGCCACAATGCAGAACCAAAAGTTTAACAGGTTATGCCCAGATCTGTATTCTCATTATGAGAACACCTCTGGCCCTGCAAGGCTAGGTATATACTAGCCTAAACAAATACGTTTTTATTCCAGATGTAAAAACACAAATCACGCTTGCATTGCTTAGATTCTCTGGAATGCTATTGCAGAGTTGAGTGAAGTGGTCTAAATGGGTTTCAACAGATCAGTAATATATGCTGGAGATACGCCATCAAGAGCTTTAAACGTCAT